CTGCCCAACCACAAGGACCCGGGGCCCACTTACTTACAGGGACATTGTCTGAAAGCATGGTCAATGTCATTGGGAGCAGACTCTTGCCGTAGTTAGGAATGGGGTTTTCTAGTTGAGTGAGGACGTATGGGGTTCCGTACCAAGGCAGGGGGACAACTTTCCAGTGATCTGATTCCATTTCAGTTTCTCCCTCTTTCTTTCCATTTCTAAACAGGAGTCAACTATGGAAGGAAAACTTTGTTAACCTATCCAGAATAATTCTTTCAGTAAAAGTGTCTTCTAGCCCTGCCCACCCCCCCCCCCCATGAAAGAAATCCAGGCCCTGCTTTCTGGTGAGAGTTGCAGGGTTGGGGAACCTGCCACGTGTGGCCTCGAGGCTGCAGGTTCCCCAACCCCTGGAATGTAATAGGCACTTAATAATGTTAATTGACTGACTGAAATGTATGGGCTCAAATTCATTTTCATGGCAAGCCAGAGAGGATGTGGGATTTTTTAACCTTAAATTAAATAGTTCCCAGTAAAAAAGGATTATGACAACTCTAGATGTGGAATTAAATGTTAGTTATTATTATCATAATACTACCCTGGCAGATTGGTATTGAAATAGTCAGTGTTGTCGAGTTATTTCAGTAGTGTCTGAATCTTCATGACCCTATTTGGGGTTTTCTTGGCAAAGAGACTAGAGTAGTTTGCCATTTCTTTCTCTAGCTCATTTTACAGATGAGGAAACTGAGGAAACAGGGTGAAGTGACTTGCCTAGGGTCACACAGCTATTGTCTGAGGCTGGATTTGAGTTCACAAAGTGATTCTTCCTGACTCCAGGCCCAGCACTCTATACACTGTGCCACCTAACTACCCATAGGTAGTTCCAAAGGGATGCAGGACAGAAGCCAGTAGTGAGGGGCAACACACAGTGGCCACCAGGAGACCAGTGAATAACAGTGGAAAAACCTCAGCCCTTCAATAGTGGAGGTGTGAGCTGCTTTTCCAAGCCTGTGCTCTGGTCACATGATCTTTACACGTGTGCCTCTTATGTGTGACCCCCCACAGGTGTCCACCCCTCCCCTCGATGGCGTATGTATTTGTGGGACTGTAGTATGACCCTCTTTTATAGTGAGGGAAATGCTCAGTTACTACTTTTCTTACTATTGTCTTTCATTAAATGCAGTTCCTTTGAACTGTGTCCTCTGGCTGGCTAGAAGTATGGTTTTGAGTTTAAACTTGGAGGACCAATATTGTCCATATGTTGGGGGGGGGAAGGGAGGGTGCCTCAGGCGCTACCTATGTCTTATCTCATTTGATCTTGTAGGGGGCAGCTAGATGGTGCAGTGGATAGAGCTCCAGCCTTGGAGTCAGGAGAACCTGAGTTCAAATGCGACTTCATACATGTAACACTCACTAGCTGTTTGACCCTGGGCAAATCACTCAACCCCATTGCCTCATCAAAAAAAACCCAAAAAAACAAAAAACCCTACATTATTTGATCTTGTAATAAGCACAACCATTGCCCCCAGTACTCATACTTATAACTGAAGAATCATTTTTGATTCTTTCATTTCCCTGTTTGCATATATTCAATCAATAATCAAGGCCTCTGTAATATCTCTCACATTATCTGGATTCATTTCTTTGTCCTCACAGTCACCACTCTACTTTCCTACTCATTGCCCATCACAGGCTTTTAAGTTCTGACTCCTATATTTCCTAGCTGTAGGTATGTGGGCAAATCATTTAAATTCTCTGAACCTCAGTTTCCTCATCTGTAAAATGGGGGTTTTATTTATTCCTTTCCCCCCTTTTTTTTTAAATAGGGCAGCTAGATGTTGCAGTGGATACAGCACCAGACCCGAAGTCTGAGTTCAAATAAGGCACTTACTAGCTGTGTTACCCTTCACTCTGTTTGCCTCAGTTTCCTTATCTATAAAAAGCAGGAGAACGAAATGGCAAACCACTCCAGTATCTTTGCCAAGAAAACTCCTAATAGAGTCACAAAGAGTCAGACACAACTGAATGAACAACAATTTTTTAAAAAATCACTACCCCTCTTTGTTGTGAGGAAAGTGTTTTCATCAACCTTAAAATGTTGTAAGTATGTGAATTATTATTGTTCCACTAAAGTATGACCTTGATATCTCAGTGGAGTGAGGCAATGACTCTGAATTTGTGGAAGTTATGCCAGGGCAGTGTAAGAGCTGAAGGTCATACTAATTTGGAAGGGCTTTTTTTTTTTTTTAAGGCAGTTGGGGTTAAGTGACTTGCCCAGGGTCACACAGCCAGTAAGTGTCAAGTGTTTGGTCTGAGGCCGAATTTGAACTCAGGTCCTCCTGACTTCAGGGCCAGTGCTCTATCCACTGTGCCCCTGGAAGGGCTTTCAAGAGGAGCCCGGTGTTGGCCACTCTTTCAAGGCCTCCCCTGGGCAAGTTTTGAGAGTCCCATCACTAACAGGTAATGAAGTGGTTTTGGTCAACTTATGAAACTGTCTACCAAAGCATGGAGGAATTATAACAGGCAGCATTGGAGGAGCCCCCTCCCCCATACAAATGAAATCATAGATTTTTAGGACTGCAGCAATATCATTACGTTGCCTAGAATATTGCAATGGTTACTGAACGGTCTTCTTGACAACACCCTTCCCTGCACTCCCAAACTAGCCTAGATACTATTTCTTCACTAATATTCTTAATGCTGAAGTCTGATAATATGCTACAGCAGTCACTCAAAAACCTGCAATGACCCCGTATTGCTTTCTTTTTGTTTTTTTCCTTTGTTTCAGCAATCAGGGTTAAATGACTTGCCCAGGGTCACACAGCTAGTAAGTGTCTTAGACCACATTTGAACTCAGGTCCTCCTGAATTCAGGGCCGGTGCTCTATCTACTGCGCCACCTAGCTGCCCCTGTGGCTGATATTCTATCCTCTGTGACACCTAGAGGCCCTTTGCTTTCCAAATAAAGTTCAAATAGTCAATCCTTTGACATTCACCATGCCACCTCCTCCCCCTCTAGTCTGCCTTCAACCTGCCTTGACAACTTTTTCTCACACTCTACCCTCTCACACACTTTAAACATTAACCCTCCCCAAACACATCCTACCTCCACACCTTTATCCATGCTGTTTCCTACATCTGCAATTCCCTCTTCCATGACCCATCTTTAGCTGTAGCTATTCTATCCATTTTTCAGAGCCCAACTCACGTTACCAATCTCTCTGCTTACCTCTGATCTCAATCTCCAGCTGCTTTCAGGCATCTCCTACTGGATGTCCAGTTGATATCTTAAACTCAACATGTCCAAAACAGACATCATTATCTTTTCGCCCAAACCCTGCCCTCCTATTACATTCCCTATTTCTGTAGAGGCCAACACCATCCTCCTAGGCCCTCAGGCTCACAATCATCCTCACCTTCTCACTGTCTCTCACTCCCCACATCCAAGCTTTTGCCAAGGCATGTCAATTTTACCTTTTCAAGATCTCTCAAACACACCCTCTTCTCTCCTCTAGTGAGTGCCTCCATCTCCTCACACCTGGACCACTGCAATAGCCTGCTGGCGGTCCACTTGCCTCAAGACTCCTCCCACTCCAATTTATCCTCTATTCAGCCACCAGTGATTTTCCTAAATCACAGGTCCTCACTCAATAAACTCTAATGGCTCCCTATTGCCTCTAAGATCATACAGAATGCACTGTTGGACATTCAGAGCCCTTCAAAACCTAGCTCCCTCCTACCTTTCCAGCCTTCTCTTACCTTGCTCCCTGCCATGTATTCTTTGATCCAGTGACCCTGGCCTCCTGGCTGTTCTACAAACAAAGCACTCCATCTCTGGGCTTTGGACGTTTTCTCTGGCTGCCCCCAATGCCTGGAATGTTCTCTCTCTCCAATTCCACTTTGTAACTTCCCTGGCTTATTCTAAGTTCCAACTAAAATCCCGCCTTTTACAGAAAGCCTTCCTCAACCCCTCTTCATTCTAGTGCCTTCCCTCTGTTAATTATTTCCTATTTATCTTGCATATAGCTTGCTTTGTACATATTTGCCTATTATCTTCCCCGTTAGATTATAAGCTCTTTGAGGGCAGGGACTATCTTTTGCTTCTTTTTGTATCCCCAGAGCTTAGTATGGTGCCTGGCATGTAGTAGGCACTTAATAAATGTGTATTGGTTGATGGATTGAGGAAATCCTTCCCAAATCTCCTCTCAGCTAGAGGGGTTTCTGTACCTCCCCTGATCCCAGAGCTCTTTGTAACCTGAATATCTATTCAAGTTTAAATTATTTGAATCTGTGTATCTGTCTCATTACTTGAACTAGACTATGAATTCTTTAAGGCCAAGAACTTCTTATTAATCTTTTTTTAAAATCTCTTTTAGCACCTACTATAGTACATTGTGCATAGCAGATTGCTTAGGAAGTGTTTGTTAACTGAGTGAATGAATGAATGATTACATCATGTTGCCTGGACAGAAACTCTAGGAGAACTGACTTGTGAGGTTGGGGCAACTTCCTGAGGAAATAAAAATGTAACGCAGAAAATAAAAAGGGAAAAGGAGAACACAGATGAGAAACACAACCAAAAGGTAAAGAACAATGTGAGACAATTTATTACAAAACACCAAAAAGAGTAGATACAGATAACAAGTGGTCCAAGCAAAGTCTTCCTCTCCACATTTCCCCCCTTCCCCTCAAATTTTGCCTGCAGAACAAAATCTTACTTGGAAAAAAAAAAGGACCCTCAATAACTTGGAACAAGAATCAGCATCAGAATGGATGGGTTCTCACATGGAAAAATAGATGGGTTCTCACATGGAAAAGAAATAAAACAATTCACTTTTGGGGGATTACTATACATATTTTAGCAACTAACTAAAACTAACTTTTTTATTTTATGAATAAATTTATTTATTTTTAGTTTAAAAAAAAAAAGAATCAGCATCAGAATCAGGGATTAGAGGGTAGGTAGTAGGGAGACCTGGAAATCCAGGATTGGATTCCCTCTCTTCCTAACCGAGATCAGGTGAGCTTTCTTTCATAGGTCATTATACCTATGTGGGACCAGTATTCTGATGCACTGTCAGACTGCTGTTTGGTACGGGGACTCTTCTTGGCCAAGTGGTTTGGGCCCTTAAAGAGACTGTAGGCATAGGTCATGACAAAGGGTAGCCAGAAGGCCTGGAGGATCATTCGGGAAATTTGGTAAATCCACAGGAAGTACTTTATTGGCAGAAAGGGAGGCTGGATGACCTGAGAGACTAGCAGGATTAGGGAGAAGCAGGTGATTTCATAAATGATGATCCAGAGGATGTAGACGAAGAGGCCCAGGTAAAGTTTCATGTGCACAGAGTAGAGCAGGAAGCAACTAGCCAGGAGCGTGGTGATGGACAGGAAGATGGTAATGTTATTCTTGTGACTGAAAGTCCAGAGGATCACGCCATGGAGCTCCTTGTAGATGTTGAATTTGTTGGGATCCTTCCCGAAGGAAGACGTCTGGTTCAAGTCGAGAATGAGGGACTGGATGGTGAGGAAGATGGTGAAAATGCCTGCCATGAAGGAGCCCAGCCTGGGGCTCATCTTGCATTTTTGTTGCCAAAACATCCCCTGCCGAGAGAGAAAGTTTGAAAAAAAAAATAAAAAACCCTGCCACGAAGACCAGATGTCAGAGCCAGCTGTGGCATCAGTCAGTTTAACTAGTCTGCTGAGAGTCAAGAGGGATGAAAGGCAGTGTGAGGTGGTGGAAAGAACGCTGAGAGGAGGAGTCGGTGGAACTGGATCCTGAACTTGGTTTTTCCATTATTTAAAACAAATGTATTAAATGTTCTCAAACTTTTGGATCTCAGGGCCCCTAAATGGGGGTCTCAAAAATTAAATTAAAAATTATTGAGGACCCCTTTATACTCTTAAAGGTCATTGAGGATTCTTTTACATTTTTTTGGCTAAGCAATGGGGTTAAGTGACTTGCCCAGGGTCATACAGCTAGTGAGTGTTATGTGTCTGAGGTCACACTTGAACTCAGGTCCTCCCGATTCCAGGGCCAGTGCTCTATCCACTGGGTCATCTAGCTGCCCCTTCCTTTACATTTTAAAAAATTATTTAGGTCATATTTATATTCTTAAAATTTGAAGACTTCCAAAAAGCTTTTATGTGGGATATGTGTTATATAGCCCACAAATATATTTTTGTGTATATACATATATGAACATAATAGAAATTAAAATGGAAAAAATTTAAATACATTTATTTGTAATTACAACATATTATCATATATTATATATAATAACCATTTAAATAACAAAGCTAAATTAATAAATAATAAATTTAATAATAATAAATCTGTTACAAGTTAACACAAATAACGTCTTTTTATAAAAAATAATCATATTTTCCAAAACAAAAAAAATGTAAGGAGAAGAGTGGCATTGATTTACATGGTTTTTTTTTTGTTTTTTTCCACATCTCTTTAACATCTGACTTAACAGAAGACAGCTGTATTTTCACATCTGCTTCTGCATTCAATCTGTTGTGATATGTTGTTTTGGCTGAAGTATATGAAGGAAATCTGGCCTCACAAAGATATGTGGTTGGAAAGGGTAGTATTTTAATGGATAATGTCTTAGTATTGTTATGAAAATAGTTTGGCCTCATGAAGGGGCCTCCAGGAATCCAAAGACCACGTATGCTTTGAGATTGCATTATTATATGGAGTAGGAGGGGGAGGGACGGCAAGTTATTTCCCCAACCTGGACCTCAGTTTCCTCACTGATAAAAGAGGAATACTAATCATACTTGAACAATCCACCTCCCTGAATTGTTGTGAGGAAAGTGCTTTGGCAGTTAGGTATATAAAGCACCAAACTTGGAATTGAGAAGATCTGAGTTTGAATCCTGTCTGAGATACTTACTGTTATTACTACTACTATTATTCTACAATTACTACTGCTACAATTACCACTATTACTACTACTCTACTATTACTACTACTATTCTACAAATACTACTACTACTACTACTACTACTACTGCTACTACTACTACTGATAATAGCACTGATAATAGCACATTTATATAGCACTTTATAAATTTTGTCTCATCAGGAGCCTAGGAAGTCTTGGTTTATTCTGGACCTCCCCTCTACAAGACACTCTAGGTTGACTGACTTAGGGGAGGCCTTTGGGTGTCTGGACTCAGCCAACTCATATATTTAAGAACTGATTATTAAATTTTCAGCGTGAGCATTTACACCTCGGAAATCAGAGTTTAAGTTATTTATTGTTTTGTTGATTGTCTAGACTTAAGAATGTGGTGGAGAAAATGTTAATAATGCTTATTGAACTTTAAAGTGTGTCCTGCATATTTTTTCAGTCAGCTGATTATTAAACATTTACCAGCATACCACTGCCCAGACTCCCATCCCTACCCCTCTCCACCCTAGTCTAACAGTTAAAGAAAAAGGCATGCAGGGATCTTAAAGCAGCTCCTGTTTTCTCCTCCCATTCTAAGGAATGGAATCTTCTCTGCCCCAGGTTAATCCCCTATCTCTAGGATCTGGACAGAACTCAATGAGACAGAAGCAGGAAGGACAAGATAGAGAATGAGAGGTGAGGCATGATTGAGTTGAGCCTTGTGATTTATTCTCCATGAGTGAGTTAGAACTAGAAGGAAGCTTAGATATCATTTAGCCCAAACTCTTCATTTTACAGAGAAGGAAACTGGGCTTAGAAGACTGACTGGCATAGATTCACACAAAAAGTGAGAAAGGACCGGACAGGAACTCAAATCTTCAGATTCCAAAATTCGGTGCATATTCCATTACCCCACACTGCCTTCTTTATTTAATTGTGTATTTTTGTTGTTATTAAGTTGTTTTTCAGTCACGTCTGACTCTCCATGACCCCATTTGGGGTTTTCTTGGCAAAGATGCTGGAGTAGTTTGCCATTCCCTTCTCCAGCTCATTTGACAGATGAGGAAGCTGAGGCAGACAGGGTTAAGGGACTTGCCCAGGGTCACACAGCCAGTAAGTGTCTGAGGCCAGATTTGAACTCAGGAAGAGGAGTCTTTCTATCCCCAGACCTGGCGCTCTATGCACTATGGCGCCACCTAGCTGCCCCATATGCGTGTGAACATACACACATGTGTACATACATTAAAACATATATTCGTGTGCATATGTAATTGTACACAAATGCGCATGTGTGTGCACATATATATACACACAAAGTAGTTAAACACAAGGTAGTTTGGGAGGTAGGGAGGCAGGCATCAAGGTTCCTACTGTCACTTCCAAAAATACGTTTTGGAGAATTACTATGGATACAGTAAGGTGGTGGGGCAGGGTGAGAGGGGGATACCCACAGTCATATAAAGACATTTTTTCTACCCTTAGGAGCTCAAAATTTGATTCTAAACCTAGCATATGTGAGGAGTAATCTAGAGATTGAAGCCCAGGAAGCCTCCCCTTGTCTCCTTCCTTCTCGCTCTCCAGTTCCAGGACAATGGAACTGAATAGGAAGGACGTCCTCACTGCCCACCTCCCTAAACCCTGCCCTCAGGTGACATGCACTTTGGTGGCCTGTCAACCTAGAGGGGTCCAGCTGCCAGGCCACTGACTGCCACATGGACTGTCCACAACCTTTCTAAAGAGTCCTACTGCTGCCCTTAACCCTATCATCATCCCCCCAACTCCCAGCTCCTCCCATGAGCCTCCTGACACTGCCCCCAGCCTCCCCTCCTCCACTCAGTGACTAGGACTGTTACTGGACTGTCCCCCATTATCACCCCCCATCCTCCCAGGAGCCTCCTGCCCCTGCCCCCAGCCTCCCCTCCCCCATTCAGTGACTAGGACTGTTACTGGACTGCCCCCCCTCTCCTGTCCCTTCTTCCCACACCAGCTCCCCTCCCCCAGGTCCCAGCCAGGCAGGTGTGGACCCCAGGGGTCTTTTCAGAAGCCAGGGTCCTGTTTCCCCTTTCCTCACCACCTCTCCCTGCTGGTGCTCGGGGTCCTCTCCCCCCTCCTCAGCACTCAGAGCACCTTCGTTCTGACTGGGTCCTGGGGCAGCCCTGCCAGCTGTCCCAGCAGGGAGCAGGCCACACCTCCAGCCTGGGATGGGGCAGCAGGAGGAAGTGGGGGGCCCTCGTCTCACTGCCCTTCTGTCCCTGGCTCCCTCCACTGCAGAGGCTGGGCTGCACCAGGGCAGTAAGGAGGAGCATGCCCCACAGTGGGCAGCAAGGATGCTCTTTCTCCCCCACGCCCCATCTCCCTCCTAGTCGACTGGTAGCAGAAACCAGCTAGGAAGGGGCTGCTGTCAACCCCCCGTCCTGATCAGGAGTCACAGGGATAGCACAGAGCATTGGACCTGGAATCTGGAAGACCTGAATTCAAATCCAACCTCAAACACTTATTTGCTATGTGGCCCTGGGCAAGTCACTTAACTTCTATCTGCCTCAGTTTCCTCATCTGTAAAAGGGAGATCATAATAGTACTTACTACCCAGGGTTATTGCGAAGACTGACTGAGGTAATATTTGTAAAGTGCTTAGCACAGTGCCTGGCCCATAGTGGTTGCTATATAAATATTAGTTATTATTAGAGTTTTGAGGATCAACCAAGATAAAACCATTATAAACCACTTAGCACAGTGCCTGGCACATAGCAGGCATTATATAAATGTTAGCTACCATTATTATTAGAGTTATTGAGAGGATTAACTGAAATAATAATTTTAAAGTACTTTGTAAACCTTAAAGTGATATGTAACTGCTGCTGCTTCTGTTGTTGTTCAGTCATTTCAGTCGTGTCCAACCCTTCATGACCCCATTTGGGGTTTTCTTGGCAGAGATGCTGGAGTGGTTTGCCATTTCCTTCTCCAGGTCATTTTACAGATGAGGAAACTGAGGCAAACAGGGTGAAGTGACTTGCCCAGGGTCACACAGCTAGCAAGTGTCTGAGGCCAGATTTGAACTCAACAAGATGAGTCTTTCTGACTCCAAGCCTGGCACTCTGGCACTATGGCTCCACCTAGCCGCGTATATAACTGCTAGTTATTATTATTATTATTATCTGGCAGAGAAGCCCCAGACAGCAGCAGTAGCAGCTGCCTCTCTGAGCAAAGCCTATATCACTTGACCTGCGTCTTCCTCTCCTCTGTTCGGTCCCAGTGCTTGTTTATTGACTGGTCTTATTTCCTATCATATCCTGGTTTTCCTCTTGGCTTCATCCAAGAAAACTGGTTCTGGATCTTTTTGAGTCTTCTTTATCCCGTTCATCTTTATTCCTCCAGGAAAGGTCTTTCCCCTCTTCCACCCTCTAGACCTCCTTCCTCCATGCCGTCTCCTCTGGCTCGGCATCTGCACGACCTTCCCTGCCTCAATCCCGGCTCCTGGCTCCCTCCAAATGGTGTGAGTTGTCTCTAGTCACTCAAACAACCTCATAGACCTCATGTGCAGACAGCTTTATGTAAGTGAAATTGGGTTTTTAGTGTCTTTTTAATTTGTATTCTTTCTTTCTCTGTCGTTGGACTAAAAGTGTCTCAAGGACAAGGATTAATCTCTTTTTTCCTCAGCATCTCTCAATTGTAACCAGTGTAAATATCTGCATATCAG